CTCCCTCTCTCTCTCCCTCCCTCCCTCCCTCTCAAACCATCTCTCTGCCATTGATTTATGTATTGAAGACTCTTTCAAACAAGAGTCTCTTCCAGCGTGTATACACAACTGGTTAATTTCTATATGTACAACGAGAGGGAATGTCTTTCGTGAACATGTTTGAGACTGAAATATTAATGCTGCATATCGACTGCTCAGTGTAAGATTCCGACACACGCCACTCTTTTTTTTTTCTTTTTTTTTTTTTTTTTGTATTTCTTTTACGGCGCCCGCAACTGCATAAGGTCATATGAGCGCGCGGGACACATCAAACATTTTCAGTGGGTGGGAAATTTTGAATTTTGCACAGGTGGCGGCCGAAACCTATTCTTATCGATTTTGGACTTCCAAGGGGTCCTTAACGTGTGCAACTTGCACACGGGACCTCCAAGAGTTTTCGCCCTTATCCCACAAGGCTAAGTTTTAGATCTTACCTTCCATAGGATCATCGGTAAGAAGGGGCCGAAGAGTAGCAGTAGAAAGGCTGCAGAAAGAGTCAGGAGCCCAGAGGAGGGGGCAAACTGGGTGAGGGGGTGGGGGCAGAAAGTGGAGACGGAAGCAGACGACAGAAAATTGCTAGAGAGTAGGAAATGATATGAAAAGAGAAACTTTAAGAAAAGAAAATTTTCCGTCGCTATCCTGATTCGAACCCGGGAACTATTGAAAGAGAGGCGAATACCTTAACTTCTAGACCACCCCCCCTCCCTTTCCTCCACACACAGACCTCGTCACTTTACAAAAAGATGTCAAGTTGCGGAGTCTTACACTATGCTACCTCAGACTTACGAAGTTCTATATTATTATTTCGACATTTTTAGCTGTTTTGAGTTACTAAGACCTTGAGGTCAGAAGCCAAATAACCCATATGCTTTATCAAAATCTTCATATTATTATATTCGTTAGTCGTTATCACGATTTTCAAAGAATTGCATTCGAAAAAGCTTGACCTGTTGTGAATTTCAAAATTTTTTAACGTCAAATTTCTCAAAGGTAGGTACTGAGCATATTATAGAACTTTGTGATTCTTGGGTAGCGACTAAGCCGTCGATATGTGTACTCACGTTTTGAGAACAAGTAAGATGCGCGGCAACGATTTTAGTGTTGCTTTCACCTCAGGTATAATAAACAATCTTTATATGCACATATCTGTGACAAGTGTGTGTGTGTGTGTGTGTGTGTGTGTGTGTGCGTGCGTGTGTGTGTGTGTGTGTGTGTGTGTGTGTGTGTGTGTGTGTGTGTGTGTGTTTGTGTGTGTGTGTATTTTGTTTGGAATGTTGTTTCTGTGTATGTGACTGGAGTCTAAGGTGTAGCTGTTTGGCGCTTCGCCGTCGAGCGCAGGAAACAGGAGTTTCTTTCCCTTGTTGAAAGAATTTTTATCAAGTATTCTGGTCTTTCTCTGCTGGGATGTTGTATCCGTCTCAGTCTGGGTTGGCCCTGACAGGCATGTTGGGGCCGACGCCGGGCCTCCTGAATTGTTGAAGTGTATTGTTAGGGGGTGTGAAAAAACATCTACATAAATAAAAAAAAAACCACAGCAGAATATTACAACGTAATGTAAACCAGTGTGTTCACATCAATTGTTCATGAGTCCGGAGCATGGTTCCGTGAGAAAGGATAGGTGGGAGTCTACCCCTCTAATTTCCTTCTGGGAGTGGGGGGGGGGGTTGCTTTGTTTGGGTTCTTGTTTGTTTCGTTTTGGGTTTTTTGGGTGGGGTTCTGTTGGTTTTTGTTGGGGGGTTTTTTGGGGGGAGGGGGTTGTTATTTTTTACTTTTTTAATTTTTTAATTTTTTTATTGTATTTTTTGTGTTTTTTTGTTTGTTTGTTTTTTGGGGGGAGATGGGTTGTTGTTTGTCTGTTTGTTTGTTTGTTTTCCTTTAAGGCCGGCAAATGCAATCATTGTCATGTTGGACTGTGATCTGACTGACACTGGTTCGAAACTGTAACCGGTTGTTTCTGAACTTGGATTCTTTGTCGAGTGGCCAGTCTGTCCTGTTGGGCTTTCTGTGTCGGCGCTCCAAGCTGTACTTAACTTCCTGTCTGCTGGGTCACTTTGCTGTCTGAGAAGGGGTGAGTTGGCGGTTGGCGGATGCTCTCGTGTAGTTTGATCCTTCTTCCCTACCAAACATCTGCCTTTCCTATCCCTCTTCCTTCTGTTCTTTGTATGATACTCTCTAGCAGTACCTCTAATCTTCGGCACTTATATGACCTATTTGTATTGGAAGTGCCTTAAAATTCTTATCAAAACTACCAAGTAAAAAACATACCATGCTGTATAAGGAAATATCAAAACAAACCATATCAAACAATACCAGTGAGTGGTTGGTGGGTGCCCTGGTGTGGTTTTCTTCCTTCTTTCCTATCGTCCTTATGTCTCCTCCGTCTTTTTTTTTGTCTTTTTTTTGGGGGGGTGTATGTTACTCTCTTGTAACACATCTATTCTCCGGCACTTCTATGACCTTATTGTATTGCAAGTGCTGTTAAACTCTTATTAAAACTAAAGACTTAAAGTCATGCCATGCTGTAAAGGGCAAGATCTAACAACCCACATCAGACAACACCATGTCAAACATACCTGCTATACAGTGTCATAAGGGGGCTCTCGTGGCCTAGAGGTTAAGGTGTTGGCCTCTCATTCAAAGGTCCCGGGTTCGATTCCGGGTAGCGACCAAAAATATTTCTTCTCTAAAATTGTCTCCTTTCACATCCTTTCCTGATCTCTAACAAATTTCTGTGTCTGCTTTCATTTCCACTTTCTGCCCCCACCCCTCACCCCCTTTGCCCCCTCCTCTGGGCTCCTGACTCTTTCTGCAGCCTTTCTACTGCTACTCCCTGGCTCCTCCTAACTGCTGTCTTTCTGCCACACCCCTGATCTTCTGGTAGGAAAGATCTACACCTAGCCTTCTCGGACAAGGGCGAAAAATCTCGGAGGGCCCGTGTGCAAGTTGCGCACGTTAAAGATCCCTTGGTGGTCTAAAATCGATAAGAGTAGGCTTCGGCCGCCACCCGGGCAAAATTCAAAATTTCCTACCAACGAAAAAGTATTAGGTGTGTCCCGCACGCTCATATGACAGTATGCAGTTGCGAGCGCCGTAAAACCCTATACTAAACAAACAAACAAACAAACAAACAAAGTGTCATACCAAACATACCATGCTATTCAATACCGCTGGGTGATTGGTGGGTGCTATTGTGTAGTTTTTATCTTTCTTTCCTATCAAACATCTATCGTCCTTATCTCCTCTTCTTCCTTTTTATGTTTGCTACTCTCTTGTAACACCTCTAATCTTCTGGCGCTCATATGACCTTATGCAGCTGCGAGCACCGTAAAACCTCTACTAAAACTAAACACATCTATCTTCCTTATCTTTCTTTCTTTTCTT